AAGCTCTCATTCCGTTCCCAGAGCCGGCTTGTTCCTGCGGTGTGCTCTATGTGTTCTCTCCTGAATACACAATCTACAAATCAGATTTCCAGGGGGACCAAGAGAAAGGTTTTCTTCCTTTGATTCCTTTTTCCATTTTTCTTCTGCTTCAGCACAGCCAGCCCCCCTGTTTGCAGAGGCGTCCCGCGTGGAGGGGGCCTTGTGCTTATCAGCTGAGTGTGTCTGTGTTGGCTGACAAGGGTCATCATGCCGCAGCCACAGAGGAGGAAGAAGGGAGCCATGAATTTCCCCCACAGTTGTGCAAAAGGGATCGCCAGTCCACCCAAGCACACTCCTGCCAGCCAAGGGCAGACTCAGGAAAATCAAAATAAGATGGACACTCCCAGCAAGTTAATTCTCAGTGGTAAGTTGAGCACACTGGGAATCCTAAGGGTTAGGTGTAGTTTACCGAAGAAGTGGGTCATGAGCCTCATAAATTGTACTCTTCCTTCCAATGTTGAAATGGAATAAAGTGGAAGAAGAGCAGAGAGGAATTATTTCAACTTCTGAGCGCAGGGCGCAAATCAGTGAAACTCACGTGCAAACATTAAATTCTCTTTATGCTACTTAGAGTGATCACTGGCAAGTTAACTGGTTCTTTCTATAGGCGGCTTAGGATAGAGTTTGTCAATATTCTTGGCAATATATTATACACACAAAGATTTGAGGCAAGATGGGAAAAATTAGTGTGATTATGCAAAATTTTCTATTTAAAAATCTACCCAGCCATAAATGGAGAAATTACAGACCCCCAGTGTTGCCTAGAAGGTTGGGGAGGCAGAGGCCAGGTGTGTGTGTGCACACGCGTGCATGCGTGGTGTCTGGTGTCTGGCTGAACACGTGGGTGTGTGCCTAACATGTGTACTGGGAGAACTTTCCTCTTCTATGGAATCACAAAGGCTAAATGTATAACTGTTTTCCTTGGACACCTTTCTCCCTTGGAACAAAGACTGATGAGAGTGGAGAGGTAGATACGCGAGAAGGAAACTAGGCAAGGGAAATGATTTCTAAAGTTATTGAAAAGCAGGGATTATAACAAATATTTTCTTTTCTTTTGAGCTGATAATTAGAGCTTCAGCAATTTTGAGCCAGCAAAAAGAAGTTCATTGGGTGGTGGCAGTGGCAATGCATCTGATTTTATATCTCCTTAGGATTTACTGTCATTCAGGTGCCCAGGAAGATGGGAAGAAAAATGACAGAAATGAAAAGTGGCAAAGGGGCCCTCAAATTGAGGAGAGTAATGGCTGCTAAATGACTCTGTCCTCCCCTCCAGATATAGATTCAACCAAAAATAGTGCAGAGAGCAAGAGGCAATGTGAGATGTTTTGTGCTGCCTAGACATTTTTGAAAATAAGTGGGTATTTAAAGAATAATTGTTAAACTGAATTATTGAATTTGGAGATCATATGTCCTTTAGATTCAATTCTACCACTGACTGAGCTACATGAAAAAGTACTGGTACATGAAAGCAACCATTCAGAATCATACTTGTACATTTAATGCATTTACGTTTTTAAATTTTAATTTATTTTTTATTGAAGTATAGTTGATTTACAATATTGTGTTAGTTTCTGGTGTGCAGCAAAGTGATTCAGTTATATATATATATGTGTGTGTGTGTGTATATATATATACACACTGAATCCTTTTCATATTCTTTCCTATTATGGTTTATTACAAGATATTGAGTAGTTTCCTGTGTTATATAGTAGGGCCTTGTTGTTCATCCATTTTATATACAGTAGTTTGTATCTGCTAATCCTAAACTCCTAATTCATCCCTTCCCCAACCCCTTTCCCCCTTGGTTACCATAAGTTTGTTTTCTATGTCTGTGAGTCTCTTTCTGTTTCATAAATAAGTTCATTTGTGTCATATTTTAGATTCCACATGGAAGTGGTATCATATGGTATTTGTCTTTCTCCTTATGAGTTCATTTAGAATGATAATCTCTAGGTCCATCCATGTTACTGTAATAACATTATTTCATTCTTTTTATGGCTGAGTAGTATTCTGTTATGTGTGTGTATATATATATATACACACACACACACATACCACAACTTCTTTATCCAGTCATCTCTCAATGGACATTTGGGATGCTTCCATGTCTTGGCTATTACAAATAGTGTTGCTGTGAACACTGGGGTGCATATATCTTTTCAAATTTTATTTTTCTCCTGATATATGCCCAGGAGTGGGATTGCTGGGTCATACGGCAACTCTATTTTTAGTTTTTTAAGGAACCTCCATACTGATTTCCATAGTGGCTGTACCAATTCACATTCCCACCAACAGTGTAGGAAGATTCCCTTTTCTCCACACCCTCTCCAGTGTTTGTTATTTGTAGACTTTTTAAATGATGGTCATTCTGACTGGTGTTAGGCAATACCTCATTATAGTTTCGATTTGCATTTCTCTGATGATTAGTGATGTTGACCATCTCTTCATGAGTCTATTAGCCATCTGTATACCTTCTTTGGAGAAATGTCTATTTAGGTCTTTTGCCCAATTTTTAATTGTGTTGTTGTTGTTGTTGTTGTTTTTGAAGTTCAGTTATATAAGCGGTTTGTGTATATTGGAAATTAAGCCCTTGTTGGTTGCATCATTTGAAAATGTTTTCTCCTGGTCCATAGGTTGTCTATTTGTTTTTTTTGTTTTGTTTTGTTTTGTTTTGTTTGATGGTTTTCTTTGCTGTGCAAAAGCTTGTAAGTTTGATTAGGTCCCATTTGTTTCTCTTTGCTTTTGTTTCTATTGCCTTGGGAGACTGACCTAAAAAAAGTTGGTACAATTTATGTCAGAGAATGTTTTGCTTATGTTCTCTTCTAGGAGTTTTATGGTGTCATGTCTTATAGGTAAGTCTTTAAGCCGTTTTGAGTTTTTTTGTGTGTGGTGTGAGGGTGTGTTCTAACTCCTTTAACTCATCTTAATGTTAAATGTATATGTTTCTTTTTCTACGTAGGAGCTTAAATGAGATACTTAACTCAGGGGGTAACATAAATTCTAGTTTTTTTCTTACCAAAATATTTTCTCCTAAGAAGTATGCTCTTGCAGTGCAATTTGGTGAAAACCCATAGAATCATAAAAACAAGTAGAACTTGCTGGGGTAATCTAGAAAGCAGAATTGTGGCACGCACAGAACTGGCGGCTCTGGGTCAGTTTTGAATCCTGGCTCTGCCCTTCTCTTGCCATGAGACCTTGATTAATCACCTGCAACAAGGGGATACTTATAACTCTCTTGCCGGATGATGGAGCTCAATAAATAAACTAAGGAAAATCATCAAGAAGTTAGTCCATGCTTAATAATATTAGAAATTTAGTCCAAAATATCCTTTTTGTTGATAGAGAAAATGAGGTTTAAAAAAAAAAACTGATGCTATTGAGTGTTTAAGGCTGGCCTAACCCCCAGACCGAACTAAACCCCGAGGAAAGTTTTCTTCTGACATCACATCACAACCATGACAAAGTAAATACACCTTTCTCTTCATGTCATACCTTCAAGGCAAAGCTCAAATTCTCCATGATCACCGAAAACCTAAAATGTGCCTAGTCTTTCATTTCCAAAGGAAAAGAGACCGTGTGGTGTGACTTCCTCTCATTTCAAAGGGACACAGCTCTCCTCACACAGTTTCTACAAATTGCGTGGGATAATGAAGTAAGTACCACAGCGGAGGGGTATGGCCTTTCTAATGAGCTGAGACAGAGATGTCCCCAAATGACTCGGGGGAGGGACACAGGAGGGACTGGCTGACTCTCAGGCCAGGGCTGTGCAAATCTATCTTAGAACAACAGTTGTACTCTGAGCAAGGGGTCCTCTTCGCACATCTGTAGTCACCCACGGGGAGTTCAGATGAAATTAGGTCTCACTTAAATTGGATTTTCTCCCAATACATTAGCATTTGTACAATCTTGCCAATGCTTGGAAACTTGCTAATTAGTAATAGGATGACTTCAATAATGGTAATAGGATAGTTAAATCATGTTTTACTGCTGTTGAACTGGCCTGTATCAAGACTATCAAGGGGTACTTCTTGTATGTATGTTCAGTTTTTATTCTGGTGGGCACAGCTTGGTTGGCAAACTTAATCTACTTCTAGAAGTTGGTATCACAATGACTTTTTCACTAATCTGAGGAAATGGAAATTTTAAAAAGTAAACCAAAATGTTTCAATAAAACTGTTGTCTTTCTGATTCACTCAATAGTGAAGTATTGGTCAAAAATGATGTATCTCTTTAATAAGTAGTAGGAAAAATAAAGCTTTAGTGAATTAACATGAAAGGGACAATTCTTTCTTAAGAATTATCAAGAATTAAGTAGCCAGAGACTGAGGTTGAAAGTATTTAACTTCTTAAGGATCTTTCACCTTCCTACTACACAAAGCTTCAAGTATTTCCAGAAATTGAAAAACAAAAAAACTGAGCTGGAATTAAGCAGCATAACCTCTGGAAGTCGGAGCTAAATTGTCTCAGCTGTATCTCTGGATTGTTTATTTGACCGCAGTTTCAGCCAATGCTCCTGGTTTTCTTTAGATCCTAGAAGTACGGATATCCATGGATCTCACACTCCTGCTTTATCTCTCCTCACAAAGAGGATCACCAGTTGGTCCTCACAGAATCCTTATTAAATGGATGAACTTAATACTTTTAAATCTGCTTAAGCTTTAGACATCTGTTATGTCCCTGTATAATTTAATTGCAATAAAATTTGGCTACATTTGCTTTCCAATTTAATTGGTTTGAGAAGTCAGAGTTATGTTTTTCATTAATAATTACTCACATGCACAAGAAGGAAAACAGATTTAGCTGCAAATCCATATATCTCTGAACCATTACTGTTAGTATGTATGAATGTAGCAAAGCCATCACCATCACGTTAGGATTTTTATATTTCATAATCTAATCCACCTACAAAGAAGTAGGCTCACAATTTCTCATCTTAAAGAAATGATTTGATTAAAGAGTAGTTCCAAGTTTACCATTTTATTCAGGCTGAAGTACTCATTTAGTTTAAGGAAATATATACACCTCTTCAATCCTATTTGCCAGATCACGAAGACCAACAACGATGAACATAGCATCTAGTTACACTGGCTGAAGAATTAAGCCCCTATAAAAATAATGGGAGCAAATATTAAAGTTTTAAAGCTGCAGAAAAGTTTCCCCCAAGGGGAAATTTTTAAATATTTAAATCAACATGCAATATCATTGCACCCCCAAGTGGAGGTGCTGATATCACGAAATCATCCCTGTAAATCCAGCAGCGAGGTGCGGAGGAAAACTTGGGGGAGCGGCGCAGAATCCGTCGGCAAACCTCACTGGGAGGAAACTGGGAGCTGTGACGGCTGTAGAGTCCGGCTCCCCGGACCTGGTCAGCACCTCGGCCGTCGCGGCCGCGGCCGCATCCGTGCCAGAGGGGACCCTCAGCGCGCCCCAGGAGCGCAGCAGCCGAGCGGCAGCAGCGCAGACACGGCCGCGGCAGAGCGGGGTGGGGGTGGGGGTGGGGGCGCCGCCAGGCTCCCCCCGGGCCCGCGCGCTCCTCCGCTGTGTGCGCGTCTACTGGCTGACTTTCTTTTCTGTGAAACCTATGAGAAACAGCAGGAAAATGTTTCAGATTCAAAATTAAAAATTCATCTCTCTTCTTCTGGCTGAAGGCTAACAAACTTCGAGGTTGGCCAGAAAAAGAAATATTTTATTCATGAGCCCCTACGAGTTTGCACTGAGAAATCAGGCAGCGGCAAACGGAGGGTTATTCTTTTCGGCACTGACATATGCTCACCATTTGGTGAGCTCACCTGAGGCCTAGTTCTAACCATGCCTGGAGAGGAACAGTCTATTCTACTCATTCTCGCTGGCATTTGGTGGCTTGCATTTGCTTATGAAAGTAAATCACATGTGTTACTATTCGGTTCAGTACTCACCCCAGAGAGAGAACCGCCAAATAAACTAGCTTAAAAAGCCATAGAAAAGATCACAGTTCTCAAGGTGTGATAGTGTATCACGAAAACAGATACCGAAAATTGGGAATATTTTCGTAGGACCAGGACAGACTGCCACAAATAGAACCGCAGAAAAGACAAAGTCGATGAGGTCTACTTATGGTAACAGGAAAAAAAAATCATGTTATCGCCAAGAAATAGGGTGTTTTCCTCATTCATGGTAACAATTTAGTGTATCTTAAATGTTTTATACTTGCTGCTCTGCATTTGGTATTTCAAAGACATGCTGAACCAACATTTTAGTAATAGGAAGATAAGAAGTTACTTTTCCAGGCTTAAAAAAACATTCTTCTGAGAACTGTGGCCATTAAAAAAAAATCTACTGGAAACCATAAAACTCCTAGAAGAAACATAGGCAGAACTTCTTTGATAGACATCGTAGCAATATTGTGTCCATTTTTCTGATCTAGGCCCTCCCTATCTATTTGTCTATCTACCTGTATCTATCCATACAGACTGCTAATTAGAATGTTTAGTCTTTGCTTATGAAATCAGTGTTTTAGCAGGAATATATTTACCATCTGTATTTTCATATGTTGCTGTACATGTAAATATGCTTTTGCACTGTATTTAATAGTCCCTTAGCAAAATCACTTAGTTTATTTCTAAGCTGACCTTTAGAGCATTAAAGGTGAGGTGTCATTTCTCCTGTAATTCTTTTCTAACAATCTAGAAACAGGCGTAGAATTATCTTCCTTTAAGTTTCATTAATCTTCTCTATTAACCACTGGCGAGATAATTAAGAAAGGAACGTATTTTACAAAAGAAAAATATTATTGATATTTTATCCATCTGTATTGAAAATTCTGCAAAGCATGGTCTCTAAGTTTCTTCTCTTACATTTCTTAAGTAGTTTTTACTATTTAAACTGGTTCCCTTATCTCTTCATACTATTAGACACTGAAAAAAATCTAACAAATGGAAGCTATTTACTGTTGTAAAATCATCTGTAATGTTTAGATATAGACAGTTATAAAGAGACACAAAGTGAGAAATAAAGATTCTGGCTTTCAGGACAGGACCATCAGAATTTATTTAAATAATATATGTGCAAAATACAACACTATTATATTTTACTTAATGTAGAGCATGGGGTGGTCCAAATTGCTTCGTGGTTATAATGTGGGCTTTGGAGTGAGGCTGCATGGGCTTGTCTGTGTCAGCTAACAACTAGCCAGGTGAGGTTAGACAAATTACCTTATTTCTTTGCTCCTCAGTCTCCACACTTTAAAAAGCAGGGACAGGAGCAGTCCTCGTTTCACAAGGTCGCTATGAGGGTTTTGATAAGATGATAAGTATAAAACACCTAAAATACAGTTCCTGGCATAGCTAGTGTTATGGGGTAAATTGTGTCCCCCCAAAAGATGTGCTTAAGTCCTTGCCCCTGGTACCTGTGACTGTGCCCTTATTTGGGAATGGGGACTTTGCAGACATAAGCAGGTTAATACGAGGTTATACTGGATTAGCCTAATCCAATAGCACTGGTGTCCTTATAAGAAGAGGAAAATTTAAACACAGACAAGGAGGGAAGACAGGCATGTGAAGCCAGAGGCAGAGACTGGAGTTCTGCTGTCACAGCCAAGGCCATCTGGGGCTACTAGAGGCTGAAAGAGGCAAGAAAGGACCCTCCTCTGGAGGCTCGGAAGGGGGAGTAACACTGCCAACCCTTGATTTTGGACTTCTGGCCTCCAGAGCTGTGAGAACATAAATTTTTGTTGTTTTAAGCCACCTAGTTTGTGGAACTTTGTTATGGTAATGAGTTCAGTCAGTATTCAGTTAATGAGTTATTACTAGACATTGGTAAAGGCCAATTATAGTGGTTGGGCTTTGATCTCTGTATTGTAAAAAAATAATTGTGTTTGCTCACAACACAGTCTCACGTCCCCACATTTTGTGCCTCTCCAACTATGTAAGAGTTGAGTTCTACCTTATTAGACAGTTCAACTCGGCACCATATGGAAATTTTGGAAGGTCCAGAAGTGACTGGCGTACAACACAGGCAGAACAACACAGCCTTCTGACGTTCCACAAACAAGGAAATAACCAAGCTGTTTTCAAGGTTATGCTGACTCTATTGTGCCATAATTGTTCCGGAAACATGGAAGACATTTGGCATCCCATTCTGATAACAGATAAAATGAGATTAAAACGTTCTTTGTAAAATCACAGGTTTAAACAGAAACTGGAACCCAGTGTGGGAAAATGCCATTATTTAATGCTATGAACAGGGAAAGCCAAGTAAGTCTCAAATAATTCGAAACCTTTATTTAGATCTTTAGTTCCTGAAAGAAGATTTGATTTCAGTGTGTCGCCAAGGTACTCTAAAAGAACCACAGATGTGACTGAGAGCAAGGCTGGAAATCAGTTGACCTGAAGACTGTTCGATGTGGTACTCTGTACCTACCGACCTAAATCCTGGGCCAGGGAGGACCCTGCTCTGGCCTCCTCCAGCCAGACTCCCCCCAACAGTGTGTCTGCCTTCCTTTAGCACGAGCCCGGGGCTCCTCCACTCAGACCCCCAAATTCTCTGCCGAGTGACCCTGGGTCTGCTTCCAGGCCCCATGTGGTCCTCTTCCCTAGGCCCGAAGCCAAGGAGTGCTGTTTATGAGGTGCTGAGGGGGATATGGGTCAAGTTGTGATGTGCTGTCTGGACTGTCCTCAAATTCACCTTCAAGACCCCTCAGAGAGGGAGGTGGGAGGAGAAGGTGGTAGACAACGGCTCTGGTCTCCTGGTGCCACTGGGTCCTGGCAGAGCTGGCTGGACTTTGAGCAGTCCGAATTTGACTCTGGCCTGCCAGGATATTTATCAATAGTAGGACAGACTATACTTCAATAGCTTCTAAGCTTGAGCCATAACATTTAAATATTTATACATAAAGTATGCAATTCTCCTTGCATTCTTGCCCCAGACCCTGGCAGTGTTACAGGAGGATCTAGTGCTATCAGAGAAATTTGCCCATGACGCACCCACTGTATCTTCTAACAATCACAAGGCTACCACTCTATAAATATTCTATGTATAGACATAAGAGCCACTATTTCAGCTTAAATTATAAAAAGAGGAATAATTGCAAAAAAAAGATACTAGGATAAAGATATCCTACATATATTGGGGTCAGAAAAATAAATTTGTCAGGAGTCATAGGAAATTAATAAAAACCAAGAACTAGGACAATCTATAAAGTACACTAATTGATGTTAATTTAAATATCCACATTTTTGAAAGGATCCTTTTCATTTAAATATAAATAACATATTTTAAGTCCTTATTATCTGAATACAATATATAGTGGTTTTAAGAAATAGTTTCTTTGTATAGATGATCAGAAACAGAGTCTAATTTTTTCACTCATTTTTCTTTCCATTGCTTGATTTTTGGTATTTCTAGCCCAAAACACAGACTATACTGATCACTTGTGTATGTATTCTTGAAGAGTGCAGAATAAAAATATTAGTCATATAATAAGACAACAAAAAGATCTGTATCATAAAAAGATTTTTAAACCCACATTTGTTTAACAATCAATACCCCAAAATTCTTTTTCAGAATTTGGAGGAATTAGGTTGGACTTACAAATCAAAAGGAGCTTTCCAATTAAACGAAACAAAAAATTACGAGAATCAGTACGAAATTAAATGATGGCACGTGCGATGTTGGTGACAAGGGTGATTTCAGAGCGTCTGACAATTCTCATGACCTAGCCTGAGCTTTGAGATAGTGTCAGCTTTGGGAGCTGGAAGAGGAGCGACAGGAATCCCGAGCAGGTAGATTTTTAAGAAAGGGATTTCTTTCTATGGTGGTCCCCTAGCCACGATCAGCCCTCCTCACCTGCTGCAGACAAGCCACAGGCAGGTGCAGAGAGGGACAAATTTTGGATGGTAGCATACCTATTCAGTTTCCACCAGGGCTGCCCAAGCAAGACCAGCTCATAACACATTTATTATGCACTTACTCTTACATAGTACCAGCTACATAGTTCTTTTACCTGTGATATCCGAAATGTCAAATGAGAAGCACTGGTAATATATGCTGTGAGTTCTTAGGAAGAAGAGATCATTGAGCATTAGATACTAGTCGTATAATTAACCAAATTAAGGCCCCCAGGCTTATTTTTATATGTATTATTTTAGAAATTTTTAATATGGTGAGAGAGGTTGATTTTCAAGGCACTACAGGATGTGATTCAAAGCACAGGTTTTGAAGTCTAATACACCTGCAATCTAAGCCCAGGGCTCAATCTTCTTAACTCCTAATTTCCTAATTTAAGAACTTCCTAACTTCCTAATTTAGACATGCTACTTAAATTCTCCAAGCCTCAGTTTCTTCATCTGTAAAATGGTGTAATAATAAAACCTACTTGATAGCATTGTTGTGAAGATTAAAACAATGTTTTAAAAAATACTTAAGTTCCTACATAATAAGGGTTTATGTTTTATTGTAATTTTACGTCTGTAGGCACTGATAGAAAGCATGTTTATACATCACAAAGCTCTTCTATTTCTTCCCAAGTAGACAAGAATTGGTAGGTCTCACACATTGACTATAAAATTATATTTTTGCATATTATTTAGTTTCTGAAGGTCATCACAATTCATTTCTATTTTATATAATCATTAGCTTCTATTACATTGGTCCAGGAAGAATCCAATAGTGAATATAAATGGCTTTAAGAGATTATTGAAGTCTCTACTGGATAATTGTACTTTTTACTGATTAAACTTCAATTCAGGAGAAAATATTTTTAATACTCATTCCAGACCAATGTAATATAAAACGGAAAATTATAATCAGGTGAAACTCAGCTATTAGACAAAAATGGATTTCAAAAACACAGGCATTATGCAGCAGTCATTATGGTTAACAGTATGCCTTTCTATTAAAAGCTCTCTCTTATGACTGGAACCCCAAAACGTCATTAAAGCCAATGGTTATAGTTGTAATAGAAAGAAAAGAAAAAAGAAAGTGCTACAGTTTTCTAATAAATAGGTATACATTTTCTTATAAAGTTCTCACTTTTTATCTTTCTTCTCCATAATGCTACTGTAAGCTATGGCCTTTGCCACTCCCCATGGTTCTCTGTACAGCTGTCCAAGTTGTGTACTGCTCAACTCTAGGAGGCTCTGTTTACATAAACTACCATGAAGGACCCTTTGGGCTTGTGAAGTTCACAACCTGCAAAGCTACAAGTGGTATCTGTGGCTCCTTACTTCCACTCCATAATGGACCCCTTGTATTAAAAACCAGAATTCTGTGATCTCAGATCTGAAGTAAATGAGATTAAATTTTAAGTATATGGCCTGAAATTGGAATATGGCTCATCTTCAGCTTGTCTTGATAGATTCCAATCTCTGGAAATGAACAGCCTAGAATCACAGGCATGTGTCACATGGATTTTAAACATGTGGCAGACAATGCCGACTTTTGACTATACGTGATGAGATTACAAGTGGGATTATGATCACAGCCCAGGTTATACAGCACACTCCTGGATGGCCTCGTGAGACCACAGAAACAAGTGGTAGAAAGGATAGCACATTCTGGAAAGAGTGAGGAGAATGGTAAACCAAAGAAAAATAAGATAGAAGAGTACTCTTAGTTGTGAGTACCTTGTAGGTGACTTTTTAGTTCTTCCCATAGTACTTCCAGGTGGGTATTGTGGGCAACTCTGGCCTAAATGTGGAGTCTGACATTTAGTCATTATGGAACACAGATCTGAGCCTTGGGTTTCCTCTGTCTGTCTGCCAGTGACATTTAAAACATCTGCCTAGCAAACCCAACCTGGAATGGTGGCAGCACATGTGTCCTTTGTAGGAGAATTTCAGAGCTTTGTTGTTGTTGTTACAGTATGGCTCTGCTGGCAGTTCTCATGTCGAACCCAGATGGAATACTGACTCTGAGACCGCCATAGGAGCAGAAGCCAGAACTGAGATCCACGCATGTCTGCATTCCAACATTCTCTTTTCCTAGAGGAGTGCAGTTTCGCCCCAGGTGCATCACATTAGAGTTGTGTATGCAGCACAGCTTTAGAGTAGGTACTCCCAGAGAATGAATGGATGTTGAGTAAACATCCCCCCAAAGATCCCATTGAAATGTAAACATGAAAGAATGCTCACTACAGCTGTGGTCTTACCATTTGCCTTGTGCTGCACATCTGGCGGAAACTGGTCAGGAGCATACCACTGATAGTCCGGCTGTGTGGGACAATAAAACGTTACTGTAGCAGGGTGGGCTTCCAGCAAAACAGAGTGGCACGTTAAAAATATAACCAAACTGTGTGGCTTTTGTTACATGGGCAACACAGTAGTAGTTTCTATCCAAACCTGTTGCCAGTCTTGCTCACCTCTCTTACCTCCCTCATCGCTACTACCATCTCCCTCCTCCTCTCCTAAATCCACTCTGTGTTTGGCCAGAATTTTTTCCTCTTCGAGACTGTGGCTTTTTTGGGAAACAGATGTGCTTGCGACATGTGCAGAAGTATAAACACTCTTGTAAAACTTACTATGGCCCATAAATAAAACAAAACAATTTACCAGCAACAAAGACTCTTTTTAAAAGCCTCACCCAGGAGGAAACAGGAAGACTCAGGCAAAAATTTACACGTTTAATGTTTTTTGTGGTGGTTCAAGGAAGAAATCTAAGCCATTATGTGAGGACACAGCTAACAGAGACTTAGGACATTAAAGTGAAGAAAATCTTTCCCTTCGTGCTGTTCCTCTGCAGACTACTCTAAACTGCTCAGATAATTCAGACTAGAGAGGCAGCCAGAAGAGCGGGCAGACCTGGAGTCTTCTCCTGGGATTTTCTCCTAGATTTACACCAGTTAAGAACTGTGAGATATTGAACATCAAGAAACATGTAAAATGAACTGCGTTGAACAAATCATAAGCTATAGACTTGAATTTCAAAACAGAGTTCCAAGGTCAGAATCTTTGTATTAAACTACTTGGAACAGAGCAACTTCAGCTTTATCTGCCCAGGAGGTGGGTAGGTCTTCCTGTCTTCCTGTTCCCTGTCCTCTGGCATACGCCTGCCTCCTACCTCTCCCCAAGACACAGAGAATACAGACCTTTTGTTCTGTTATTCAATCACCTCCTGAAAATAACTCAGGAAAAATTTCTCCAGCAATGAGCCAATCGAGAACATTTTACAGGACTGCCAGACCACAGAAAGTAGCCTAACAGTTCAGTTGTCTGACAAGACACTAAGAAATGCTGCATTTATACAGTCTGACCCCACTGGACCCTCACTCAGACACCTAGGCTCTTAGCTGTTTTTGGTCCATGAAAAAACGCAAAGAGGAAGTGAGATCACTTCTGTTTTTCATCTTCTCGTTTATTTTTAGATGTCTCAAATAACACATAGGATAAGTGACGTGAGCTTCAGTTTTCTATTCCAGGACAGTTGCCAAAAGAAGGTGAATATACCACAATTTTACAAACACCATCACATGTGCTTTAATACAGCCTAAGAAATAAGCATGAAACATGAAATATGCTTTTAAAGTGAACTCTGGGAGTTTCTGTAAATTCTATCATCATACCGAACTGAATATTGCCTGAAAATGTAGCCATTATACATGGTTTAAAATCTTTTCCAATACGGACCTTTATTTGGTGACAATTTTATGTGATCTAGACTGTTTTGTCTCTTATAACTGATAGAAAAATTTGTTGAGCTTTTAAAGCAGGTGAGTTTCTGCCTTCTTTCCACAAATGAAGATTTGAAGAAAACAGTCATTTTTGCTTCTAGATAAACTTGAATGACTCATTGGTTTTATAGTTAAGCTTTCACAAGAATATTTCCCCAATTCTCCAACCTGTAGATGCTAACTCCTTAGTAAATTTCTCTCTTTTTATGTTTCCACAATATAAATTTACTTCTACATTCTGAAAAAAAAAATCTAAGGAATGAGTCATGCATTTGGAGATTCCCAGAAATGTTTCTAGTGCAGAGTAAAAATTAAGCAAACAGATAAAGAAGAAAAGGAAATGGAGGAGGGAGAGCAGACAGAAGTAGCAACCAGAACAACATGACAAGAACCAAACTCAGCTGTGGCGCCGTGTCACACCAGGGTCAAATAAGAGATGCTCATTAAACTCCGAAATCCTTCCGCCACCCAGAGTCATTATCTCCTTCCTTGGGAAAGCCCTCCCTTGGGCTTTGAGTCACACTCAAATGCAAAAGTATGAGAAGTTTCAGGCAAACGAGAACCATGCACTCTAAGTGCTCTTCTTGGAAAATCCCTAGTTAAAATCCCAGATCTTTTGCATAATTAGAAACACAGCTAATAGCAACTAAGGAGGAGGGGGTTGTCTGAGCCAATCCAAAATGCATGAAAATGCGTAATTTACTTCGTGTCTAAAGAGTCTATGTAGGCAAATTAGGGAGTGGGGACAAGTATCCAGACCATGGGGAGGGCGGGTGGAACGCTGCTACTGAGAAGGAAGCGGAGGGTGCTGAGTCTGACTTATTCGGGTTGATTGTCCAAATCAATTCCACTTACAAATAATTGCTCCACTCTTCATTTCATTTGGCCTGGGTAGATACAGTCATAGCAACTTAAGTGGGTCACTTTTTCTTGGATCCTTTAAAGAATATCCTTTCAATTGGAAAATGTCAAAAACTATATTGCACAGATGTAGCAATTTAGTAGTTCAATATAAGTTTACAACTAAAAAGGCATCTCCCAGACTGGTTTGCTATATTCACTTTGCTTTATACACAGACATGTCCCTTTGGAAGAGTCAGTATATCATTAAAAAGAATCCCATATAAAATGCGATATGTTCATTCAGGGAATGTTAGCTCAATTTGATGCCTTTCAGTTAATTTATTCATATCTATATGTCCTGTGGATACAGTGTCCCAAAGATAATTATATTGCACATTGACCATTGTTAACTCTGAAGATTAGAGGCTGAGATAAATAGGAGCTCTTTATGCAGATAATGTGTCAAAATTCCAGAGGCAGACATTGTTTCTACCAAAAGAGAGCAGCAGCACACATTAGAAACGTAAGCCGTTGCTTGTTGGATGAGAGCTCTACTTACTGGGTGCTGCTGCAGATCCCGCACGGCCCCAGGAACTGCCGGTCCACGTGGATCCCATACAGGGAGCTTCAAGCCGCAGTTACAGGTTGGGAAATACATCTGAGGAGAATGGTGCTGCCGGTTCACCGGGAGTGGGTGAGATTGCAAAGTCACACTGACACTCACTTTATACAACCACAAGGTTTGGTTTAAATCGTAAGGCTTAGCCTAACTCTGGCATAATCCTGATTCAAGAGATGAGACCTGTCAGTGTAGACTGTGGATGGATACCAGTGAAGCTCCCAGGCCAAATTCTCCTTAAGGTGAAACCTTAGTGATTTTTCTGTGTTGAAGAAATTAAAAACCCTGGAAAGGTGTAGAGAGTGAACTTTGTGTTTCTCAGTTATCTTCCCAGGGTGTCCTTGCTTAAGAAAAACCATTAAGCCAAAAAATACATTTTCTTAAACTGCAGCCAGAGACCCTTCTGGCATAACTGAAGTCCAGAGAGGGAATTAGGAATTAAGAGAAATAATATTCATTCCTTAAGGCTACTAGAGAACAAGGTAGAAGGCTTCAATGCCCAAGAAGATACCCTGCTTTCTCAAAAGAAGGCACAAGTCTTCGGCGTAGTTTTCCATTGTCAACTGGTTGAGCAACTGCAAGAAATACCAAGGAAATGTATTTCCTAGGTGTTTGTGGGTCTATGAAGAAATTTCCATTCACACGAACATACACTAAAGCTTGTGCTCCTGGGAACATGTTCTGTAAAGTGTGTGTTTTTCATGAGCGTTAGGGTTGAGAGACCTTGGTGATACTTAAGCATTATCTCTCCACTGATGTTTCAGTTGACCATGAAAAACATGGATTGTTCTCAGGCCATCTGTAGCAGAGCCTGAATATGCCTTTAATTGAATCCATTAGAAACTGCTGTACTTGGGAATAAATGTGCGAGTAAAACCTAAAGTTGGCATTTCAAACGTGACAAGAGGGTTGATGACTCTAAGGATCAACATACCTGTTTTAATTGCCTTTCTAGTTTTTCTTTCTCCATCTGACAAGCTTTGATCTGTG